TCTGACAATTCCTAAAAGATGCTTTTAAAAAGCTTAAACAGTGGGGAGGTTTTGAAGCCAAACTGGAACATGGATTCAGCAGTTGGGAATGTAGAGTGACCACCTCTTTAGAGCCCCAGCCCAGATCCATCTGCACAAGGAGACAGTCTCAAGTTCGCCGCAGTTAAATGCGTGGATTTCCAGAGGTGGACAGCTCTTCCAGCAAAAGTCATGGAGTTTGACACTCCTTTTCCCTAGGAATCCCATTTCCCACTAAGCAGTGCCCACCAGAGGGCAAGGCTGCTCTACAGCAAGACGGCAACTGCCAAAAGACCACAGGACGCTAGGGACTAAACAGGCAGCAAAGCGTTCTGCTCTGCCTGTACATCACATTAGTTGAGGAATTTTCTCTAATCACCTCTCAGGTATCCCCCGTGGTGCCTTTGATCTCATCTGGATTTCAGTTATAACCCCGTACAACGTAATTCTGAATATATCCGACCTATTTTATTGCGTGGCTGTGATGTTTTCCCTCCTGTGCATCACCAACTGCCTTTCTCCCTCCAGACAAACAGAAACCAGGGACCTCCATGGTATCAGAGAGGTAAGGCTGCTCACACTATTCACATCCTATTGAAAATGCCAATTTTATTCCAGAACTAATTTTAGCAGGGAAAAGAGGCTGCTTTGCTTATTTCAGGAAACATTCCAAGATGTCTTTGAAACAGGTAAAAAACCCAAAATGAGCATTGATAGCACCTCATCCTCTGCCCGACAGAGTCAAAAGTAGAAGTTCGATATTTAGGGGCCTCATTTCAAAGCTGCACTGATACCTGTGAAGCCTCATCACCTTCCAAAAGCAGTTTGCTTGTCTTTCTTTCTAAACTGGGTTTCTGGATCTCAAAGCAGCCTCAGTGAGATGAGATCAGGTCCCCAAAAATATCTTCCAAGACACCTATTACTGTTACCTAGCAAGGGCAGGATAAAGGGGCCCCAATCCAGAGACCTTTGGAAGGGAAGCACCAAGTGGAGGATGGTCCATCTCAACCCCATGGTCTGCCACTGCTCCCCAAGAAGAGGGGCTGGGGTAGGGAGAAAGGGGAATTCCACCTTCCTAACGCTTGTAACTCTCACTCTTAAAAGAGACGCTGGTAAGGCATGAGCAGCAGCATTGGACGTACAAATCACCAGGGCTCCCTTTGTATGACAAAGAAGGACAGAGGGACACAGGAATGTTTCCTTTTGTTCTGTTCTGGTAATGGCTGAAAGTAATTCAGTCACTGAGAACCAGAACCAAACTGCTCCTTGGTTCTGCCGACAAGTAGTGACGCAGGTGGCAATGGTGCTTTCTGCCAGGCAAACCAGCACCGCGTCCGAATTTGTCTGAAGGCACTGCCTGTTTCCCCAGAGATCTCCGAACCTGTGTTCAGAGAGGGGATGGGGAATTTGGCTCTACGGATGGGCCTGCATCAGGACAGCATCAAATCAACCCTGGTCCCCGTGTAGCAGCCAGCTGCAGCCTTGCCTGTTTGCCTTCAGTTGCGTGCAAAGAAACTCCCTTCTCATTTTCCAGAGTAGCTAATACTGCCTTCTCTTCTGGACAGCTGCTCGGCAGGCGCAAGCCAGAAGGATAACAGCATCACTCTGATCTCGATGAAGAACATCAACATGAACAACAGCATGAGTTACCCACCGTCAGAAAAGGTTTCCCTCTTAAACCTTGCTTTTGGTTTAGCTGGGCATTATTTCTCTTGCTGGATAAGAGCATGCCTTTGCGGTGTTTCTTTGCTCTCTTATTCCTTCAGAAATGTAACAAAAAAACCCAAACAACTAGCTGCCATCAAACTCCTAGAAGTCCAAACTGGTTCCAATGAGCCTGGTGAAAGTCTGGGTGCCCATCTCAGGTTTATCCAAGCTGCCTGAACTCAAGGTGCCAAGTATACCTCATGCATATAGGTGCCATCACCTAGGGCTGGCCATCAGAGCCACAGTGGCTTGTTGGCAAATGAAGAGGTAAATAAGCCAGCCTTAGTGAAGCCAAGGTCTGTCTCACCCTCTAGTCCAAGCTTACCACACTCCTGCTGCACAGGTGATGCTGGAGCACACTCCCATCAGTACTCTCGGGTCCATTCCATGAGTAATTCCCATAATTTTAAGTTGTTTTAAAGCTAAACTACCACTGGGACTGGGTTTCAGGGCACACACCACTTAAATTCTTTTGCTGGCCCAAACAGGCTGCTGATGGACCATGTTTTGTTCTTTTTGCAGGTGCTATGAAGCCAAGGGCCCAGAGCTTGAAGCTGACTCGTGACAAGCAGCAGTGACTTTCTAGGGTTTTTTTGGTTTTTTTACCTCGGGAAAAGAGCAAGGGTGGACTTTATATATAAATTATTATGTCCTTTCTGATCAATACATTCACAGTAGCATCCCACAAAGCTTCCTCACCTGAGGTCTAAGGGCTTTCTCCAGTTACAGCCTGCCATGCTCAATGGTTGATAGCTAACTCTATTTTGTATATGCCTTCAAACCCTCAGATTATTCCAGCAGCAGAAGCACCAAGGAACCATCTACTTCTCTAATAAACTGCTGCCTTTATAGTCTGTGCCAAACAGTCACAGGCTCCTTTATCAGTGTAGCCCCACATTGGGTCAAACCAATGCATTAGGAAAGCATGACCTGAAGCTGAAGGCCCAATGGGATGTAGATGGTCAAGTGCTAGGTCAAATCCCAGTACGATTGCTCCGAGCCCCTTATCCTTTGTGCCCTCACTGTCCCTGCAGCGGTGGGGATGATCATCCAACAGGGCTGTTGTGAGGCTATGTTAATGTCTGTAAAGCACTTGGAGAGCCATGAATTAAAGGTGCTGCTGAAATGCAAATTGCCATCTTAAATACTTTGTTATTAATAACTGAGCTTCGGGCAGGCAGATTGCTGTCTTCCCACAGGCCCAACATGCTCAGAGAAGACTCTTCAGTGTAAAGAACAAGGTCTCTGCATACACAGGGTTTTATCAGAGTGTGAAAGGGACTGGCCACAAGTGAAATTAGGGAGGGGATTCTGCCCTTCTGCTCTGCTCTCCTGAGACCCCCCTGCAGTGCTGCGCTCAGCTCTGGGGTCCCCAACACAAGAAGGACATGGAGCTGTTGGAGCGGGTCCAGAGGAGGCCACGAAGATGATCCGAGGGCTGGAGCACCTCTGCTATGGAGACAGGCTGAGAGAGTTGGCGCTGCTCAGCCTGGAGAAGAGAAGGCTCCGGGAGACCTTCCAGCACCTTCCAGTACCTAAAGGGGCTACAGGAAAGCTGGAGAGGGGCTTTGGACAAGGGTGTGTAGTGACAGGACACGGGGCAATGGCTTTAACTGAAAGAGGGGAGATTTCAATGAGATCTGAGGAAGAAATTCTTCCCTCAGAGGGTGGTGAGGCACTGGCACAGGTTGCCCAGAGAAGCTGTGGCTGCCCCCGGGAGTGTTCAAGGCCCGGGTGGATGAGGCTTTGAGCAACCTGGTGTAGTGGAGGGTGTCCCTGCCCATGGCAGCGGGGTTGGAACTGGATGATCTTTGGGGTCCCTTCCAACCCAAACCCTTCTATGATTCTATGATCTCATGCATGATTTTTTCTTCCTTCGAGCAACTTCTTCCCACAGCCACTTGAGGGTCTTGACAAGTAACTCTGAACCTAAAACTCATCCACATCCAAAAAGCAAAGTTCCAACTCTGACCTTGTTGGAAAGAAAGCCTGAATAAAAGACAAACAATGAAAGCGACGAGACCCTCAACTTCCAGTCACTACTCCTCACAGGAAAGGAGAGGCATTCTGCGAGCTGCTGTGCCATCTGTGCTCCCACAGCGGTGGGGGACACCGGCTCGCTCACGCCGCCAGCCCCACAGCACCCCACGGCTG